TTTATTATGCTAGTAGCTAACGTAGCCTCGAGCACTTCCTTCTCAAATAACCCCTCCAGATTCTTCTTTTTTTTTACATATAGTTTTAGTCCCCAAATGGGGACATCAGTGACATCAATGAAACCACTTTATCAGATTTCCTGCAGGAGCCACAAATCACCTTTTTACATATGCCTGAGTCCTTCCTAAGACCTGTAGAAGTGTGTGATGTGTGAAAACAATGGAGTTCCCCTCCTATCAGCCGTTGCAACTGCATGCCTGCCTGTAGACACGTCAAGCTTTATCTCCAACAACATCATCTTTTGGTCTCTTTATCTCTGACTTTGCAGAAATCTTTTTTTGTTTTTGTAAACCCATAAAGTGACACATGCTTTCACTCTCAATCTCACGCTCTCACGCTGCCCAAACTATTCTCACGCCAAAAACAAGATGAACCGGCGATCGTTTTTGGTTGGTTATTTACAATGTTGAGTTGACAGCTGCTCAAGCTGTCGATCCGCTCCCTCCCCGCCCCCACCACTCTTAACAACGTTAACAGACAGCAGAGCAGTGGGAGCCGGTTGGTCAATCCCCGACCCATATTGCGCATGCGCAGATCTAAGATCTAGTAGAAATGATAAAGTAAAAGTCTGCTGCTTATTGTTCTACTAGGCCAAAATAGAGTCAAAGAGTATATGAGAGTGAGAGTGTGTTAATTAATATATTTGGCAGTTTGGAGTAAGTCTGTAGATTTGTTTGTGTGTGTGTGTTTCATGTATAGGCCTCTCACGATAATGAATTTTGTTGGATACATTTTCCCGGAAATTATTGCGATAAACGATAATATTGTCGGCACCGTTGTATGACCATTTTAGACCACTGACATAATGATAATATATAATAATAATTCAAGTACATCCTTTCAAACTGCTAGTCACATCCTCATGTAAATGGAAATTTATCGAGGTCAGAAAAGTTATCGAGTTCATTTTTATTTATCGTACGATAAGTCAATTAATTGCTTATCGCGACAGGCACACAATAAAACAGTGGAAACAAACATGTGTTTGACTTTCATTCGTGAATGAAACTTTGTGCCCTTTATAGTCTGTGTCCAATATTGTGTATTTGTATATATTGTATATATATCCTATATATATGCTAAGGTCCCGCTACTGACACGATAGCAGTCATTTAGTGCGCATATGTGTAATTAAACCCATGATATCAAAATCTCACTCCAGCCAGGTACCCAAAGTTGGCAACCCTGCCATAAAGGTCCGTGTAGACGTTGTTGTTGTAGGGTAACATCTGTTGATGCGTTACACAGACACAGTGCACTATTGCATGTGATCAATATCAATTAAGAAGTGCTGTTTTCCTTACACAAACAACTATCTTCTATTTTGCATTGACAATGCCCACTCCCTGTTTGTTTACTGTTGCCGCCCAACGCAGAGCATTTCTCATGAAACGCTGCAAGCAGCTAAGATACTCTAACCTTTCTTCTGAAAATGTGAAAGCATGACACAGCATGAATTTGCTTCGTGCTTTTAAACAACAGCTCTTTTCCATATCGAGGCTTTTCTTTTCATGCTAATATTACCAGCAAGGGAAGGCCAAGCGTTCCATCAAACATTTAATTAAAGAGCCTTTTATATTATTGTCAGCTTGTGCATTTGAAATGGCCTTCAGTTGCTGCGGTCTGCGTGCTAGCACATTCATCTTCTTTGAAGGACACAGAAGTTTTATGTCTCATCTCATGCTCTCTCTTTCTCTCTCATTGCTTCTTGCATTCTTATGCGATGCTCGCAAATGAGCCATTCAATATTAAATGTTCAGAATATAATTAATGTGACAGTGTGCCATATATGGGAAATTACCTTGTTATATAGAATTACTGTTTATGGAGCAACATGCAATCCACCGCCAGCCTTTATGTGTACGCAAGCTTGCCCTATTGTATGAGTCACATGCGTTTGTGGTTAACCACCAGGAAAGCTTAATGCATTGTTACATGTTGACAGAAATTCTCCAGAGCCCACACTTCCACTCTCACACTCAGCCACAGTCATGCAACTTAGACACACACACGGTGACAGTGCTCTTTTGTTTTTGGTGGATCTTCGTTGATACATCCAGGTATACACTCAGTCTCTAAACCTGTAACAGTCGGTCCAATTCAATTGTAGACCCTCAGTCAAATTATTGCAGCTGGAGACCAAACAGGTAAAGTATGGGATTAGTTTTGTTTCATAAAGATAAAGCAACACTTTCTCAGAATCAAGCAAAACTAAGAGTTTAAGAGAGAAAAAAAAACTGAGTCAAGCAAAATAAATTGAATTTAAAAAATAAAACTATAAGTTGCAAACAAATCATTTGTGTAATCATGTAAACTATAAGTCTTTTTTCTTTGTTTTAACGGGATAAGAGCTCTGGACACCACGCTGTCTCAATGATCCACAGTGCTAATATGAGAGGAAAATAAATGTTTTAGGAAATTAAAAATATGAAGTTAACAAATCAAACACAGCTCAGGGGCAGTCATGGACGGTAGGTTTTCCTACAAAGTTAACTCAGCCTCCATTGATTTTCATATCAAATTAGCGTGTTAATAAAATAAGCTATCATGGCTTATACTTGCATATCTACACAGAATCATGAAAGCCTGTTGGTAGAGTCAGGCACACGAGTCCGTTTGAGTGTGTGCGCTGGTGTCTGAACGCTCACTCACTGCTAGCTATGTAGCTAACTGTCCCTGCTGTTAAGCTACTTAGCTTGGATTGTTATGGATCTAAAGGTAGCAAAAGCTAACTTTCATAGCACAGCTTTTCTTTACTTCTCACTTAACACAATAAAGAAACAGACCGTATAGTACAGCACAAACAAAACAAATGATCAATACTTACATATATTTTCACTTGTAGTATTATAATAATTGAAATGCTGGTTCTTCTGGGGGTCTTCTGTCCGTGCTCAGCTACCGCACCGCAGCTGCCTGCACTGTACAATCGCTGGAGGACTGGGCTGTCACTCAAAAACTGAGTAGCCAATGGGGACGCACCCCTGAAAGTCCCGCCCACCTGGGACGTTTGTGTCAAAATTGAAAACAAAAAACGAGGGAGCGCAAACGAGAGAGCTGCAGCGAGAGCAAAAGTCTGATCATTGAGAAAGAAGCAAAGAGAACTGCAAACAAAAAGATATGTTTAAACAAAGAAAAAATACTTATAGTTTACATGATTACACAAATGATTTGTTTGCAACTTATAGTTTTATTTTTGAAATTCAATTTATTTTGCTTGACTCAGTTTTTTTTTCTCTTAAACTCTTAGTTTTGCTTGATTCTGAGAAAGTGTTGCTTTATCTTTATGAAACAAAACTAATCCCATAGTAAAGCCCCTGTTATTGTTAGCATGTCTCTGTAGAGTGCTAAAGAGCCCAATCCAGTTCAAAACCCAAGAGCGTGTCCTTTTAGTTACTGATGAAGAATTCAGGAGGAACCCAGGAGAACTATCCACCTCTCAGTCATCCTCACTCTGTGGGACACTCTCTATTCCTCTCCACGATCTCCTGTTAGACTAAAAATCAATCCTTTAGTGGAGCCCATTTGTCCTTCGCTTTGACAGAGGCTTGGGTCAATAAAGGCACTGCATCTGGGCCTCCCAGAAAAGCCTCTGCTTGGCATAGCAATACTCTGACTGCTGTTCATGATAGATGGCATAGGCATGTGAATGGAGTCACTGGAGCGAGGCTGAGCTACTGGGCAGCACTGACATATGTCGTCGCCTCTCCCGCTTTTATCTCGTGGTGGTGCATCAGATGGTAAAATGAAAGCAACTCTGCCCTCTGGATATCACAGTAGAAAGGCTGTTACTATACTCTTTTTGTCTGCCAAGCAAATTCACTTTCACATCAGGCCCAATTTTACTTTTACACTGTTTGTGCTAAAAAGGAAAACTAAGATGGTGAACATACATAAAAAATGCTAAATGAGGTTCATGTGGTTTACATTGTTACTCAGACCATGTTAGCAGGATGACTTAAGCATATACAGTAGCTTAAACAACTGCTGTGTATAAGTACCCCTTTAAAGGACCGCTAGCAATCCTTCCAGTAGCATAATTATACATTTATATTATAACCTACAATGTATCTTGATAAAGTGTTTTTTCATAAAGTCACTAGCCTATTTTTTACATATATAGCCCAGGATATTGTTTGGTTACCTGTGAAAAAGGCACACGATAGTGATGCTGATACAGGTTCAGGAGTGAGTTCCCTCAACATGAACAATGAGAGATCTTCATTCATTAATCGAGCAGGATATTAACATCCAAGCCACTGATCTGGAGCTCTTCTTTATGCTACAGTACGCAGTCACTATATCTATTCCACTGCTGGCCTTGAATATCTTTGCCAGCCGTCGGAGTAGAATGTATCGGAAAAGAGGTTGGCAAATTAATTTAGTTAGTGTTAATAAAAGACAGCTTAACTTGACTAAGAGGAACATAATTACAAAAAATCCTTTAATTTTTCTTGATTGTCCCTTGGATGAACATGTGGTTTCCTAATTAACCTGCCGCAGCCCACTTCCCCCAATCCCAGTAATGAGCAGACTGGTGAATGCAATCAGCCTGACCCTATCATTATTTGTCATGAATAAATGTATGCTTCTGTTATTATCAATTACACGTTCTGCAATTATGCATATCTCTTCAGCTCCCCTGCTATTACCTCATGCTCATTTAAAAACCTAAGACAACAGCTCGGCTAACAGGCAACAGTCTCCCAGGAACAAACGTAAACACACAACACTTCCTACACTGAGTGGAGTTTCCTCTCCAAATCATGTCAAAACAAAACAACTGTGTAATCATTTTGAATAATGTACGATCACACTGTGTGGTGCACTAAATTAAAACATTTAGACACAGTGGGAGTGGCCCACGTTAACATGCAGCTGAAACAGTTGCTAGTGTCACTTCCTATTCTCTTAACTTTGTATCATGTGGCTCACTGTCTCGGCTACTTCCCCTTTCGCTACGTATCAACACTGACGGCACTATTTACTTTCCACCACATACTCAGCAGACAAACTTTAGCGTTCGAAGAGAGTGTTTGAATTTTCTCCCAGACTTTAGGAAGATTTGAAAACATTTGATCATGGATGGAGATGTGCTGTCGTTGTCTTCTTTCTCGTCATTATCTTCCTCAGCAGCGTCCGGGACACAGAAAGAAACTTCACCAAAGAGCTACAGCAGCCTCCCTCAGAGCCAACAGGATCACAAATCAACTGAAGAATTATGGTATGTATGTTGAACGTTTCTACATACAGGGACCGACACAGAAACAGGAACATATATTCGTATTATTTATTAAAAAAAAATATATATATAACTCGAAAACTATAGCCTAAAGTGTTACCATAGTGTTTGATAATCAGTCTCTGCCTGTAAACACGTTAAACATACAAACAAACAGGCTTTCCTTCATTTATAGTTTGATACTAATAAAGGCAATTTAATAAATCGTATATGATCTGACCCTTGTCTTTAACTCAAATCTAGAGGCTGTTTGAAAACTACAGTATGGATCCATTTTCAGCGAAGCTCTGTGAGTTAAATGACGTTCAGTAAAGAGTGATTGGAGTTTCCCATGAGGTCATAAATAAGGCTTCAGTTCATTATTTCACAACACTGATACTCCATCATGTCGTAAAAAAAAGCTAATAAAATGATATGAATTATATATTATAATGCCATAAACCTGAAATAGCTTTTGTATGTTACGATCACTTGTTTTATATTCAAGCTACTGATACTCAGTGTTCTTAATGTGGGAACACTTGGTAAATGCCGTGACCACACTACCTACACACAAACGAAAAGTCTGCCTTAAAATAACCATGTTGAAATAGTGAAACTTCACACTTCTCCTCTGCAAAGGCATCTGACTGTGGCCATCGACCGTTTACACAGAGATGTTCTGTATTTAAAATGATATTTGTCTGGGTTGCCACTAGCAAGACGGAAATATATTATCTATCTCTTTATCATATGCCATGACAGTGAATTACCATATTGCTGCTGGAAGCAGTGGCATCTTGGTGTCCTTCCAAGACGGCATACAATTGAAAACTTTGTGAAACTGGGTCAGACAGCGTGTAAGGGCTATCAGAGAGGCTGAAAGAGAAAGGCTCTGCATCAGAGAGACAGGGAGCATGATGCGGTCCCAATGGGATGGCTGAGTACACAGTGCTGAGTTACCATGACGGGTATTGGGCATGACTGTGTTTGCATTTTGTGCTCATAGCGGCCCTATGTCATTTGTTTCATTTCTGCTTTTATGCCTTCATCATCTTTCCAATCTGCAGAATTGTTGGCTCTTTCACTCATTAGCGACCAGTAACCCCTCCAGTCTCCTGCTTTGTTGAACATGATCCCAGATGATACCGAGTGCCGATTGTACAAATATTGGACTCTCGATAAACTTTACTTTTATCTAATGATCCGACTATACAGGTTTTAGACAAACAACATTTTTTATTGTGTAGAAAACTATTTTTTAAATCTGAAAAGGTCACCTTTTTAGAAAATAAGAAAAATCCCCCTTGTTCTTGATAACAGCTCATTGTTAACGTTATCCAGTTGTTGTTTTTTACGTTTTCTTAAAGAAATAGTTCCACATTTTGGGAAATACTCATATTCCCCTTGCCAAGAGTTATAGTAGAAGATTGATAACACTATTGAGTGTACATAATTATAAAAAAATATGAAGCTAAAGCTACCAGCTGGTTAGCTTAGCATAAAGACTGGAATCTGGGGGAAACAGCCTAGCTCTGTCCAAAGGTCAAAGGTCACAATCTATAAACACCAGCACTTTTAAAACTATCTAATCACCACTTTTTTGCATGTTTGTGAAATTATTTGAAATTATCCAAACGCAATTTTATGGTTTGTTGCCAGTAGGCAAGGGAAAACTCTATAAAAATCGCTGCTCCAGGCTAAGAAATAGTCCCGCACATAATCCCCTCATTTACCTATAGAGTAAAATCTTTCCTAAAACCATGCCTGTAAACTTGAGAAGCCAAATAATTATTCTTATCTCATATTGTCATCAATGGCATACGTGTATTATACAGTAAAACCTGACAATACAACGTTTTTATACAATCTCAATATCTTGTAAGGACTATATCATTTCTTTACCTTATTATTTTTCATTTGTTTATAAATAGACCTGCATCTTTCCATGTGAACTGCCAACTCTCTAAAAATGTGTAACAATATTTTCACAAAGCGGGACACTGTACATAAGTGGATGAAAGTGCATGTTTGCGAGGGAGTTTTAGCCTTAAGGGGGATGAGAGGTGATCGCAGTTTGTGATTCTTTGTAGTACTTAGCTCTCTGAGGTCAGAGCAGTTGTACAGTACGATCGTGTGAAGAAGCCCCGGGGGCAACATGCAGAGTTGTGTGTTCTTCCATGAGCAGATTTCCCCCCCCGGGCTTCAGATGTCAACCTCCTCCCTGTCAGCTATTACTTTCAGACAATACCTCACATTACAGCTGGTGGAAAGAAAACTAATGTTTGCAAACAGTCACCAATTTTGCTTCCACAGTCTTTACATATGCAAACGCTACTGATTGTGAGCGAAGATTATGATTGGCTAGGACCCTGGATGTAGAGAAATGTACTGTGTGTGTGTGTGTGTGTGTGTGTGTGTGTGTGTGTGTGTGTGTGTGTGTGTGTGTGTGTGTGTGTGTGTGTGTGTGTGTGTGTGTGTGTGTGTGTGTGTGTGTGTGTGTGTGTGTGTGTCTGAGTCTCTTCAGTTGCTAATGTGACTGCATGCATGTGTGTGCGTGGGTGTGCATAATAGCTCTGATTCGATTTTCTGTAAGTGCACTCTATGCGAGTGGGTGTTCAAAAGTACTCTGACGTTCTTTTGTGTGCACACGTGTTTGCTTATTAATGGAAATCCTCTGCTAATGTTCTTCATCATGACTTTATTTATGGAACATTTCCTCTGTATATGTGTGCAGGATGGGGGATGTGGGTCCAGTGGGAGGCCGGCTGCTGTCCACTGAGGAGCAGGTCACTCTGATCACTGAGAGCATGATCGTCACCTCCACTGACCAGGAGAAACTTCAGCTGCTCAACAAGAACACTGAGCTCCGCAGAGTCAACAAAGAGGTACAACTTCACCTGAAACCAGTGCTGCGTCTCTGCATGTTCACATTTTGTACTGCTGATGTTGGCAAATACATTTAGTTCTCTCTGAAAACCAGAGGAGGACTGTGGGCGTTGTGTGAAAACTGCTGCTAGGCTGTGAAGTATCACCATTAAAACCATACAACCGTTGCTTATGAATTTAATTAAAGGCTGTTTGATAAAAAGTAACAAGGGAAATGTATTTTCTAAAAGTATAGCGTCTCACCTCACTGACCTAAATTCATTTCCTGTGGCCCGAGTTGGTGCGAGGACAGACTGAGAAACACTGCAGTAGTGTTGTAATGAACCGTGCTCTCCATGGCTGCAGTGGAGGCCATAACACCAGTGATTATGTGATGGTGCTGTGTTACAGCTGATGAAGCTCAATGAGGACTGGGACCAGGTGTACCGCAGTGCCACGCTGGGTCTACAGAGCAGACTGGAGGCGTTGGAGCTTGAGAACACTGCCATCAAACAGCTCAACGGCAGACTGCTGCTCAAAGTCGACCACCAGCAGGTAAATACACATCAACACTCCCAATGTAGATGCAGGTGTAGGATGTATACATGGTGGATAGATGTGTGAGCTGTACAGCTGTGCTTGGGATTTCAGAGTGCAAAGGAGTACTATGAGCAGGCGTTGATGCAGGAGCTGAGAAAGAACCAGGAGCTGCATGAATACATCAGATTGTTGGAAAACAGAATGCACCAGCCGGACAGAGACAGACCTCCTGCCCCACAGGTATTACACCTGTCAGTGGGATATTCTCTGCTCCATGACTTAAGTATAAGATAATCAATTTGTCTTATGTGTCTATTTAAGGGCAGCTTCAGTGCTGTGATACGCGGTCCTGTGTCGGGCCCCATCACTGATCCTCCTGAATGTCCCGAACTGTTGCCCAGTCACGTCCCTGGGTACAGCCCCTCATCCACCTTTTCACACCCTTCGTCCAGCCCAGAGGCAGGGCGGCAAGGAAAAAGCCAGAAAAGTGCTACCCCACTGGGAGAAGTGAAGGCTCTAAAAGAGCAGCTGGAGGCACTGCAATGTCAGGTGGGATGTTCTCTTCAGCACAGCTTCAATATGTGTTCCCTTTTTTGATGTGATGAGAAGAACCTGATGTCAACCCACTGTTGCCGGGGAAAGATTTGCTTAATGTTTGAACCTGAATTAGACGGTGAACTGCTCCACCAAGTGGTGGCTGTGTGTTGTTTCTCACAGAGTATTATGAAGCATCTGCACATCACAAGCTTTGATATTGGCTCAATGCCCTATTGATGTCCTGTGTCAACAGACCCAAATTTATGAAGAAGAATATCAGACAGAGCATAATGACCATAAACACACGCTGCAAGAGAACCGCAGGCTGAGGAGGAAGAGGGAGGAGACGCGCCAACAGGTGGCACTGCTGCAGGAGCAGGTAGTGTTGTGATTGTCTGCTTATATACACATACGCACACTCACACATGTGGATCCACACTTCAATTATTAAAGAACAAACAATTATCTGTTGCATAATCTTGGTCCAAAACAAACAAAATTATTTGGTGTTTTTGTCTATCGCATCAAATGTTGGATTGGGAATAAATGTAAGGTAAAAGTTATGGTTACATATGAAGTTTAGGGTAGTCGTGCAACAACAGTTTTAACATACTCTAACAACCATACGATATATAATTAACTCACAGTTCGTATTTTCACAGCTCCACATCTCCCCTAATGGTTTAAGATAACCTGTTATATATTCTGATGAATCCACTTTTAGCTGATGCTCTAAAAGATGGGTTTCTCACTGTCATCTCAGAATGTTTTCCTGACTTCACTGTCTGTGGTTCTGACATTGCTCCAGCTCAAGGTCTATGAGGATGACTTCCGACGGGAGCGGTCTGACAAACAGATGCTGCAGCGGCTGTTGCTGAAGAAAACGCCTCCGAACAAGGACCCCGTGCTCGTCCACCGCTGCAATAATGAGCAGCAGCCAGCAGGAGGAGACACGAGGACACAGAGTGGAGAGAAGAGAAAACAGCACCACCCACTCTGCCCCAAACACCCAAACAGGGACTAGGAGTCAGACTGAAGGTGGGGGGGGGGGAACATCATCATAAAACACAGTCAAATTAAGTTTTTAATTAATGACCCTGCTAAATGTTAGCACTCAATCTTCACTTATCCTTCACCTTCCTCACTGACAGCACTTCAATCTGATTAATGAAGACAAATTCATGTTGTTGTTTATGGAAAATAGTCGAATATGAGCATATCATTGGTTAGATACATTTCTGTTCTTTAGGGTTTGTTCGGCTACCCCTCAAAATAAAGAAGGTTATAGTTAAATTGAAGTTTATTTTCTACAGGGACTTCCTGTATATTACTGACCATATCAGAACAAGTTCTCAGTTTGTTACGTATATTTAATTAATATATCTAATACAAATATTTGTTGATACATCTCAATATACCCTAGCTGTTTCTCTAAAGGTAATGTTTTTGTTTACTCAGAATTTGACACATTTTAAAGCCATTAAAAAATATAATTTCTCAAAATAATAAAAGATATATACTTGATATAAGGGTGCTGGTAGTTTGTTACTTATTTTAAACGTCTCAGCGTAATAATAGTTACCCAGCTTACGTCTAAAGGTTATATTGTCTCTTCTTTATATGCTGCATCACTTTTGAGTCTGTCAAATTGTTTCCCCTGAAGTGTCTATGCTCATGAATGCAGCCACAAAGACACAATAAAAGTCAATGACACTGGAATGTCAGACCAGTAAGCTGCTCAGTGTTGGGACGCCCCCCGAACAGATGCTGAGGATCCCTGCCTCTGGAGTGTGCTGCTGAGATAATGTTTCTCCTGACTCTGAAGGAAGCTGAGCGCTTTACTGCTGCATGGTCACCGGTCCTCTGAACTGAAAATACTGACACATATCGTCTCACTGGGGTTTTTCCTCTGTGTATTATTTACTCAGCAGCCTTGTCATTTTCCTCTGAGAGACTGTGAAACATTCCTCAACATGTTTTCTGTATCACGGCCCTAAACATGAAGTTAGTTTTGCGGAAGAGTTTATAACAAGTTATCTATTAAGAGGTTATTTAGACATTGAAGTAATGAGTGATAAAATGCTCACACACAAACATTTACACACTTTAAAAAGTCAATGACATCATGCGTCAGCTGCTTGGAGACTGAAAAAACCCCACAAGGACAAATTATGACTCTCTACTCACAGTGAGGGATGTGATGATGCTGCTGTTTCTTGACCACACAGACAACAATCTGTGTCCTTAAACTTTGATCTCCCACAGTTTTTAAGAAACGAAATTGACATCGATTTCCTCTTTCTTCCTCCTTCCCTATTTAAAAAATCCAAATATGAGTGCCTGGTGAACAAATAAGGGACTGTATTAAAACAATAAGTTATTGAAGTTATTTTCTTAACTCTTCAATAGCGTTTAGGCCTGGAGCTCGCCTCACTTAATTTAGAGAGTGGCTGTGGTTTTCTTTATTTTCTTGTGCTTTCCATAATTTGATGTTGAGGTTGTTGCAATTTTTTAGGGATACAGTAGGTTATGAAGAAGAAAACAGTTAAAAATGCAGTGGAGGGCCTCACTTTTTGACCAAATTAAATGTTAAATTCCCCCTTCTCATCCTTTTTTGTGAACAACATCAGTTTGATGCAGAATGAGACAAACCTACAAAGTCTACTGATATGAAGCAATACATATAAATGGTAAATAAAAAATATGAAATAAGGGAAAAAACTGAAATAAAACTATGAATGAAGTGTATGCATAACAATTGAAAGAATAATAATGATCACAAATACAAAAACGATGCTGGCTAAAATGTTGTTCACTAATGTGAAAAGAAAGGATTTCCTCTTCCCACACACTCATTAAATAATACACGGAAAATGCAATGTGCCTTTGTACTGTGAGCAGTAACCATTCCCTAACTTCTGACAAGGAAGAGAAAAGTTGAAAATAAGGGGGCGATGACTGGAAATGTAATGAGTTCCTGAAATCAGTCATTAAAGTCTGGAACAACTTCATAGTAAAATACAGCTCCAAAGAATAGCCTTTGGTTCTAAAGATTGCTGAGAAATTATTTCCTGATGAAATGTGTTTTCATCCATTCAAAGGACGTCACAAGCCCAACATGTAGTTCCTGGTGAGAAAAGGTTTTATGTTACTTTATTCAACATTAACAAGGGGTGTGTTCAAGGAGTTTCCCTTTAATTAAGTGTTCCTTTCGATGTCAAATCACATGTGATGATATTTTATAAATGTTGCGATGTTGACATGTGAAGAGGAGTTTCCAGATAGGGGTACTGTGCAGTATTTAATGCCACAGAAGAACCTGGCAGTACTCAGAGTCAGAGAGAGGAGACTGAACAGCAGACAGGTACGTAGTCAGTACAACACTTAGAGCAAAAGTTAAATTGTTTTGAGAGATAGAGTACCTTTGCAGAGAGGCAAAATAATTTTATTCAGCACTGCCTTTGGACTGTGCAGTCAGCGAGGTAATTTGGGTTACAGAACAAGGTGGTGCTCAGTGTGACCAAATTAAATGTAGTTAAATGTTTTTCCTTTGCTGGGCAGGGTCATCTTTCTATTTATGTCTGCATTACAGTAGCTTAAATTCAAACTAGATGGAAAACACAATGTTTGACAGAGTACTAACGGTATTTACACTTTTCTATCTTCAGCTACTCCACCACAAACAATCCCTGCCTTTTAAATATTGCAAGCAGGAGGCATCAGCAGGAAAACTGTCCACTAGAGATGACTTCATCCACGAATAAACTGCAGGAGGTCTACAACCAGCAGGGCTTCCTCTCCGCGCTGCCTGTGCTGAATGAGACTCAGCTGAGGGAGGCCAAGCGCGCCTTTTCTGAGCTGGAGGAGGAATTTGGTAAGTAGCACTGGAAGGTGAAGGAGGGAAGGGAAGAAAAAGCATTAAAAGTCATACAGAAATAAGTAAAAATCTAGTAATGAACCAAATGTAGGCTAGTATTGTAAGTGGGTCTGATTTGTCTGTAGTTTTTTTCTGAATCAGAATCTTGTTTATTGCAAGTAGGTTTTCAATAAACATAAATATAAAATTGGAAAAGTAGTGTTAGTAAAGTGAAGTTAGGCTCGGAGAATTCAGAATATACTCAGGGGGACGTTCACATATTCACAGTAAAGAAATCCCCAAAATGTATGAAATAGGATTATAGGTAGTTTTGCACTTGTTATCAGTGATTGAGTATATGTTTGTGTTTCCAGGTGAAGAGTACACTCAGTACAGCCTCCACAATGTTCACCTTCAGTATCCCTGGGTGAGGGACCTGACCCAACACCCTCAAATCATACAAGTGGTCAAAGCCATCCTGGGCCCTGACGTCATCCTGCTGGACTCCCGCTTCATCTGCAAATACCCGACACTCAAACCTGACGCCCAGGAGAATGAAGGAGGAGGAAACGATGAACTTCCATATGTGGCCTGGCATCAGGACATGAGGTGGATATTCACAAACTACAGAAAAAAACACTGAGAGGTTTTGTTCTGCTTCGTTTCGTCTCACAGTTGATGTTTTGTCTTCAGGTATTGGGGTATTGCTGGCGGCCCGGTTCTCTCTGTGTGGCTGGCTTTAGATGACTCACTGCAGGAGAACGGCGCCCTCCAGCTCATCCCAGGTACCTCAGCTGTTATTAGTGTGAATGCTGTGCAACAGTTTTGAAATATTCAGCTTTTTTTCATTCCAACTTTAAAATGATCACAAGACCTTCAGCTATAAAACTTATTTCTCTGATTTTTGATATCTTTTAAGGTTTTTGACTTATCAACGTTTAAGTTTGGGTACATTTTCAGGCTGTTTTAGATGTTATAATGGTTGTCTATGGGAGGGACTCTTCAGGGCTAGAGTGCGTGACATCATCACTTAGAGTGTAGAGGGTCTTAAAAATCTTTGGAAAAAATATTTTAAAACTGCTCTCAGAGCCAAAATATACACTCTAATAATTTCAAAAGATTTCAGGAGCATAATTAGTCTGGCCTGCTCAATTGCCTTCATCATATCAAACGGACCCACCGTTCTGGCCCAATAGTGATCTGAGTGACAAAAAGTCCACCTAGATCACTAGACTCCCATGTTAAATTTGTCCGGAACTTTCTTCAGAACAGAGAGAAGTAAACTTTAGACAAACTGCTCCCATCTTCACATTTTGCACACAAAACCCCCCAAAAAAACATATATCAGTTCATTGGGGTTCCCTGATGCTCACTTTCTGGCATTCTTAATGGGACTAAGTGCTGCAGTTGGTAACCATGGTGTTGCTGGGCAGATTGGGGCCACACACCTGAGTGACATCATCTAATCAGAGCAGACATGCCCAGAGACAGACTGGTACACGCACACACAAACACTGGATGTTTATACTATATGTTCACACACACACACACACACACACACACACACACACACACACACACACACACACACACACACACACACACACACACACACACACGCACCACACACACACACACACAGTCAGACACACACATACACATTTTACAGCATTCGCACGCATTTTCTGCAGGAAATGCATTTTCTAGTTCCTTAGCTGCTGTGCTGGTTGGACCTTAGCTAGACAAAAGCCACATAAAGTTTTTCTTGACTCCCATTACAAACAATAAATAGGCAGAGATGGCAAAAGTACACACATCCTTTACTCAAGTAGAAATACAGAAACTCGTGTTTAAAAATACTCTGGTAAAAGTAGAAGTAAACTTCTTTACTCAAAAAGAAAGAAGTATGGGCTTCGAAATGTACTTAAGTAAAAAGTACCCATAACTACCACCTGTTTTAAAGAGTAACTGACTCCCTTTATATTAATAGAACAATCATGTAATTTTTAGCTAATGAATGTTTCGATGCTGAACAACGGCAAAATGACAAAGTTCTCATTGGTCCCTCTTCTTTAGAGAAGAAAAGGAAATGATGGATACATGGATCGTGTTAAACTCAAGAGGCACGCAATGACTCGAAATAATAATGATCACGCCACCAAACACAGATCAAATCTAAAGTAACGAGCCTGTTTTGAAAATGAAAGAAGTAAAAAGTACAGGTATTTGTGTTAAAAATGTAAGAAGTAAAAGTAAAAAGTTGTCAGAAAAACAAGTAGTGGATTAAAGTACTGATACCAGAAAAATGTACTTAAGTACAGTAACAAAGTATTTGTACTCCACTACTTCTCACCTCTGTAAATAGGGTGTAACTTTTTCTCTCGGTGCCCTGCAGGTAGCCACTGCGCCGGCATGTTACCCCACCGCCAGGCCACCCGACCTGGAAACATGCTGTCAGTCAACCAGGAGATCCCAGAGGAGCTGCTGCAGACTGATGAGGCTGTGTTCTGCCCTCTGTTAGCTGGCCAGATGTCTGTGAGTGTATTTATTGTGCAGTGCTTTTAATAGGCTTGAATTAAAGAAGGTGAATTAATTAGGATTTGTTTTCACAGATTCATGATGGACTCCTGGTCCATGCCAGTGATGCCAACACATCCCAGAGGAGGCGCTGTGGGCTTGTGATCCGTTATGTTCCCACCTGTGCACATCCCACCCAGGTGAGACCAACATGGTAGATGTATTGCTATATTTCATTATCATTTCACAGACTTGTGTTGATCTTGTTTTTTTATGTTGCTGATAGGATCCTGATCGTCCCAGGACATTTGCTGCAACAATGTTGGCCTGTGGATCGGATCGCTTCAATCATTTCTCCGACAAAACCACATGAATCCTTCCTAGATTCATCCTACGTGCTACAGTCACTTTACTGAAATATGTTTTAAACTTAAACCAAGTGTCTCCTATGTTGATTAATAATATAGTAGTTTAACAGAAGAAGGGCAGGTCTTTATGGTAGTTTATTCTACATTTCAGTAGTATTTATTTATGTATGGATTGTGAATAGTGTGCTTAAATGTTCAGAATCTGTGTAATTTGCAATGATATTCATTTACTTGTATACTGTTTTTAAATGATTAAAAATAAACATTAGAAAACACTTTCACTGGTTACTCATTACATCTCAGTTCAACCCAATGAAAAATATGAAAGACATCATTAGTATTATTATCATTACATTTTTACTTTCTTGTAAAGCGCTATGAGCACCAGGAAAAGCGCTATATAAATGTAATGTATTATTATTGTTATTAGTAAAGGTTCATCAATGGAGTATTGAAATGTTATCCAAAATGGAGGTATTTGTTTTTTTAAATCCAACACTTCCTCGACATTATATATACTCAGCTTGTTTTAGAGGGAAATCTGTAAAACATCTATAAATAAAATCAGGCACCTTCAGTGATTCAATACTTTACATTTTATTCAGGTGAATTAGATTCCCTAGAGATTGTCCTTAAACCGGACTGGACTCAATGAACGTGTTATCTCTTACCCAAAGAACTGTTCCACTTCAAGGTTGTTGTTTTTTAAATTGTTGGTGTGTAAAATGGTTATTGCCCCTTTTCATGCAGCTCAATGCTGATTTTGATGGCTAACGTGTTGTAAAGGGAAAAACCACAGGTATCTCGGGCCTATATGTGGGCTTAAAATTCATCTGACTGTGAAAAGAAAAATGTGAAGTACAACCACTATTCACAGTATATTTTGCTGTATGAAAATATTGTGGAGTGTACCAAATGTTCATTGCTTTAAAAGAAGAAAAAACTCAAAATTGTAATTCGAAGAGTGAATTTTATTGAAAATCTCAAAACAACACAACACAGACATCACTGCTATAACTCTATATTGAACACCGTGTTTGTATAGAAAATCACAATAATTAATCACAGCCATGCAGTGTGTAATCAGTGACCTCCTAGGCCAGCTTCAGTGTCTCTTTAACCATGACCCCTATTCCATCAAAAACATTATGAATGGGAGCATTGCACATGAATGCAGCGGTGGTGACCAGCTTGTTTTTAACATCAACGTGAGCTTTCTCCACATCTGTGTTGACGTGTTTGCAGCCCATTTCCTTCATAGCGCCTGCGGTCTGAGCGTACGGCCACCTGGAGATAATTGAGAAAGAAAAGTTAGAAATATAGATCATTTTCTCTTTATATGCAAAGACATTTGATAAAGCCAAACTGTGTCACACACTTTTCACACTCCTTGTCCTGTCCCACAGTGAGCTCACAGCCGGGCAGGATTTTGGCAGCGAGGACGGGGGAGATGCAGCACATGCCCATCGGCTTTCCAGCCTTGTGGAAAGCCTTGAGGAGCTTCTCCAGATGTGGCTGCACGGTGCAGTCCTTGTTCTTCACTGCCCAGTCACTCAGGTTCTTTGCCACACCAAAGCCCCCTGGAAGACAACAGAAACAAAACCTAATAATTAAATAAAACAGAGAGAAATATGAGATATTGTTCTCTGCAGCATTTATTTATTGCAGCCTAACCTGGGATGATGACGGCATCGAAGGCTGAAACTTCCAACTTGGCCAGATCAGTCACCTCACCTCTGGCAATGCGAGCACTTTCCTGCAGGACGTTTCTTTTCTCCTCTGTGGGTTTCCCATCACAGTGGTTGACAACATGCATCTGCTCTGTGTTTGGAGCAAACATCTGCACCTGAAATGAAGAATGTCAAAATGTAGACTCTGAGGACTGTGGGATCTTTTTAGGGTTGTTATAATACATGAACCACTTACTAAAAGAACAGAAACGTCAAACTGAAAACTGCAGTCCTTCTTAATAGGACCAAAAACAGATGAATACACTCTAGTAGGCTACATTTACTTCTCTTCTTTTCTTGCCCTTACTTTAGCTCCAGCTCGACTCAGATGTACGAGGACAGCAGAGGCCTCGTGGACCTCTGTGCCGTCATAGACTCCGCAGCCTGAGAGAATAACTGCAACACGCTTTGCCATGGTTCCTGTGAAACACACATAAAGCACATACATTTATCAAATGGGTCTAACCCCTGTTTAAACATTGCTGTTTGTTTCCCTATCACACATGCAGAGCTCTGCTGCAGTGCCACCTGTTGCACTTGTTGACATAGAAAATGCACGGGGACAGAGGGACCCAGGAGAGCTGCTGCTGCTGCCAGGTTACACTGTTGTTGACACCAGTGGGCACGAGATACAGGAAGAGTCTGAATTAATGAGCAGCACTGTAAAATGAATATGTCTAAGACACTTTTTAAGCATTTCAAAATCTCTCAATGCATTTTGCAGTGCTACTTTACATTTATGTAGCCTATAACAATATAGTCTAAAATCAACATGTGTTGGTTCCTAAAAATATAAGGAATAAGCTTAAGGTTAAGTTTAGATAGCAGAAGAGAAGACAGTGTAGATATATCTCACCTTGTATACGTGCAGGTTAGGCTGTGTGTAATGGAGCAGTTCAGCAGAGAGGTGTGAGGCTGTAATCTGAAGCAGAGTCTTTATATCGTGCCTGTCTCCTCCCACACTGCTGTCCAAAAGGGTGGGATTAAGGTAACCAGGAACCTGATGGATTGACTCAGTTACCTTTTAAGGTAAAATGCTGAGTCATCCGTCTCAGATTTCAATGCACAACAATGGGGAACATTTAGGAACATTTAAATTACTATATGAAACGATTTTGACTGGTTTGCATACACTAAAAATAAAAATGTGATAATTATTTGATTATAAAGATGCATTAGGTAATTTACTGTATTTCTAGGCTAAATAAATACAGAGCAAATAACAGATGCTTTTAGTATAATATGAAAGTTTGGACATTTTGTGTGACACAGTTGGAAGAAATATATTAGCCTAAAACATATTAAGCTAAACAAAAATCACCGTTTTGTTGTTAATATTAACATGACTTTGAAATGAATATATAAAAGAATATAAAGATGTTTTTAAGACGTATTTTCAGTGGGATGAGTGTGTGACGCACATGACTCGGCATTTCCCGGTGGGAAGATCAGTGGTTTGCGTGCTGACGTCACACGCAGCAGTATAAAGCAGCTTCACGTGCTCAGAGCTGTACTCCGCTATGGCTCACCCCCACTCTCTGCATGAGTCCGTCGGCATACTGGGCATCTCTGGAGGTAAAATGTACATACGAAGTAACGATGTTTTTATTGCGGTAGTTGTACTCGCTGCTTGTCTACTCTTATTTATCATTAGGCCTACTATCATGAATTGTTGGATTGAATTCAGTGAAATCCTTTTGTAAACATTTTTCTTTTAAAAGTAGCCTATGTTAAGTTTCGAAAAGTTAGGGGGAAAAAACGAGTAGCCAAATATTAATATCAGAAACCAATCTGTTGTTTTTAATACATAAATGCAATTACTACGGTAATCTTTGCTAAAACAAAAACATTAAAGTGATACTTTGGTACAGCTTACAGTTAGGACTGGTTTTAAACCCCCTTTTAAACATCCTCATGGACCCTTCGTTTTATGGAATTTTAATTATTGTACTCTAACTGTATTTGTGTCATTGTGTTAAGTACCTCTTTTTATTGGTATTTTCACATTTATCTTGTAAGATTCATTTGTTGTTTTAACATTGCTTTTACTTTGTCAATTGTGTTTGTTGATTTGTGAAGCCCTCTGAGACAAATATGATTTGTGATATTGGACTATATAAATAAACTTGAATTGAATTGAATATATAAGTTTGGCATTTGTTTTATTTAATCGTGTTTGCAAATTAAAACATGGAAATATTTTTGTTTTTCTTTAGTTTACAGCCATATGGCACACACATATAGACTCCTGTTTCACAGCTTCGTTTTTTAAATTGTTTTATTAAAGATTAGTATCTCTGACTCTAATTTATTACTTTTTTCACAGTGCATCAAGTGTATTTTAATAACATTTTTGAAAATATGTCAGAGTAAGAAGGATCATGTTTTCATTTTACTTACAGGTTCTCTCCTGCTTTTGGTGAACAACTATGCCAGCTCGCCTGTTAAAGAATTCATCCCCCATACTGCACTGGGGATTCTGCTCCTCATCATTGCAGTCCTCTTAGCCTATGCAGGTTAGTTTAGTTTATTCTTATTAACTGAATCAATGGTTAACTTGTTATTGGGTAAGCTCACGGTCTTCCTCTCCTCTGTTTACTCTTCCTCTCTAAGGGATCTCTCGCAGCCTGTCCCACGCCCAGCTGTTTTCCTCTGTGTGTCTGACTGTCTCTGCCCTGTGGTGTGGGTCCGGTCTGGTGCACATCCTGGTGGGGCAGGGGGTGCTGCAGCCCTCAGAGCTGAGAGCCTCTCTGGTCCCGGGCCTGGCAGCATTCACCTTAGCTCTGCTCATCATAGGTGGCGTGGCAATAGCAGTGAAGAAAGCAGTGCTTTTCCTCATAGCTTTCTGCATTAGCTTAGCATGTGCCCATGAAATCGCTGGTTTGTCAGCTGTAGGTTTTGGTCAGTCTGCTACAGCTGCCAACTACCTTCTTGTCTGTCTGGTTGGTCTTTATTTTGGATTTGGACGTCTGCTGTCCATCATCACTCATGGTAAAGTGGAGCCTCCGGGAACAGGCCTGAAGAAAAAAGCTGAGCTGGAAACTGAGCAGAATCAGTGTAGTGATGCAGTGTCAGTGTGTCTGGTGATGAACTTGCTCTCCGCCTCAGTGTTAGCCTGTCCTCTGTTGGGCGTGGTCCCCCGGCTCTCCGTCGGTCATGTCCCCTGGCTGTGGACGGCTGGAGTCTTTCAGCTTGGCATGTGTGTCCTCTTCTACAGAGCCATGGACACACTTGCTGCCACTTTTTACGGCTTCACTGCTATCCTGAGATTTGCCGAGGGCTACAGTGCTCTTCTATCATTCTACTCAATTCAGCCTTTCTCCCCTGTTCCCTTCCCTGCTGTCTTCTCCGTGCTCTTCTCCATCCTGGCTGTGTTCAGCTGTCAGAAGAGCCTGGTGGAGGGGCTCTACCAGTTATTCTTTGCAGCTTATTGTATCGCCATCGCAGCCCAGCCTCAAGGCTTCTTCCAAGGAGGCACACAGGGTGTACAGGGAGCTATATTTGTACTCTCTGCCGGCATGCTTTTAATTACCACATTCAATATGGTCTCGACTACAATGATTCCCACAGGCCAGGGCTGTTTCAAGGCCTTAGTAGCCAGGATTCAGGGCCTCACTCTCAGAGCCCATGATAAAGAGCTACATGCTCCTCACCTGGGCTACTCCAAGTATGCTGATGCAGAGGTGTTGGGCCACGCCTGCAGTGTGCTGGCTGCTTTTGCTGTCACAGCCACAGTTGGTGACAGAAACCCTCTGTCTGTGCTGGTTCTGCCCTGGGTGGTGGTGGCTGGCGGCGGGCTCCAGCTGCTCTGCGGCTCAGTAGCTTTTGCGCGAGGTAAAACCTTTGAGAGCACAGTTTTTACTCTGTACGGGGTGATGTGGGCAGTGTGGGGGTTGACCCGATACGGCGGCCTGTACGGTGAAACCAGAGGCTTCCATGTGGCTGTCGGGATCATAAGCTTCATGCTGTTTAACTGTTTAGTGACGGTCGCGGCGTTGTTTCTAAATGTCGCCTGGTTTGTTTATGCCCTCACCTTCCAGCTCATCCTTATAAGCTTCTTGCTGGATGCAGTAGGCTCACTGCCTTATGGTTATGACATTGGAGTCACCATCATCTTTGGTCTGGTCAGTTTTTATTGTTTCCTGGCACACATTTTCAACAGCACCTTCCAGTCCCCCCAGATGCCCTTAGGAAAACCTTTAGTGAAGCTGAGCGGGGTTGGAGGAGGCGCAGATGTCTGTCCGCATGTACCGGCCCGCAAGGCCTCATCCGTCCAGCAGATTGCCGGTGAGAATCTTCAAAAGTGATACTTCTCCATAAAGATTAGCATTTGTGCATCAATTATTATTAAACCTTGAAACTTGAAGACTTTGCCTTTCTTGCATTAATTCATGGTGAACGAAGAATCAATAAATGGAGAAAAACTGTTGTGAATTCAAGTAAATAGAGGTTCAACCTCAGGAAAACTATATCACAGCATAAGTTCTTTAACACAACTTGTGCAGTGTAGTTAAACTCTCATGTATCCAGTACACTCATTACTTCTCAAACACAGGCATTAATACTGTGTACTATAGTTAAAACACTTTGGAATGATATGAGTCGAGTAATGCGTCAGTGCAAGTGCAAGAGTCTTTATGCAGAAATAGTAAGGTTTTAATGAAAAAAGTAGTAAACAAAAAACTTGATAAATGAGTTAAAAGAAAATCTACAATACAAGGTAACACAGTGAGCGTAATTGATATACAAATGGTCGTTCTGTGAGTTAAAAAAAAAAGTTGTTTACATACTTGCCGTTACTTTTCCTCTTTTACCATCTGTAGAAATCATGAAAAATGGGGGCATATGTGGAATGCCTACTGACACCGTCTATGTGCTGGTGGCAGCTTGCAACAGGCCAGACGCAGTTATCAAAGCTTATAAGTGAGTTTCCATTTTAGATTTTATCTACATTCATTTATTGATTTGATTTCATTACTCTTTAATTGCTGTGTTTGACTCCAGGGTGAAGAAGCAGGCGGAGGACCGGCCCATGTCTCTGTGGATCTCCTCCATCAAGCAGCTGGAGCCGGTGCGACACCTGCTGAGCCCTCTGCTGCTGGACTTCATGGAGGCTGCCTGGCCCTCCTCGATCAGCATGGTCATACCCAGAGGTAAGTGTGCCTTCATGTATGATTATTAGTGCGTGTGCCTATGTTGGTGCCTCATGACGGGGGGTTTACGTTGGTTTTTCGGCTCACACAGGCCCGTGGATGGACACTTTTGGTTTAGGGGATGCTGCCAAACACATAGGGACTCCACAAAGCATTGCCATCAGAAACCCAGACTGCTCTGTGGCCACACACCTCATTAATATGGTAAGGGAATGAATCATTCAAAATGTGTGTGAAACTAGTCAGCAGGCCTTTTGTTTAAAACAACAACTTTTTTTCTTGCAGGTGGGGCCCATCGCTGTAACCTCAGCCAACCCTACAGGCGAGGCAGACACGACTCACCACAACCAAGTTTACGCCAAGCTGGGAAAAAAGGTTAAGACAATATTTATTATTATTAAATATAAGAGGCCTGGGTACGTTATTTTATTTTCCAGTAAACTACATGTGCTTTTTGCATGGTTAGGTTGATGGAGTGCTGTGTGACGGACCCTCCCCAGAGAACATTGCCTCCACTGTGGTCGACTGCACTAAGATCGAGACAGGACATATTGGTTTCTTCAGAGTGGGTCTCATTCCTAAATCTAAGGTAATGTTGGTTCTATGCATTTAGTTCTAATACACAATTCCAACTTAGTGCATGCTTATTCTAATACCTGCTGCTTGTGTTTGTGCTTTAAAGGTTCTTCAAATCTTTGAGGAGGTTCAGATGCGGCACAGACATGGGCAGACAAACCCTGCTTTCGAAGATGATGTACATCTGTCTGATATACAAAGGGACAAAAGTTTCGTAATGGAAGACGCAGCAGAGTCAGGAAGAGGAAGCGGAAACTCTACACCATCCACAGTTTCACCTGAACAAAGTCCAGTCCTCATACATTAGTCATAGCACCAATGCACTATAACAAATGTTGCCAAATGAAATTTGTATTCAGATTTATTTAAATGTAAAATCCATGCAGGGATGGACATGCAATAGTTGCTATGGTGTTGTTTGATTGATGTTCTGATGTCTGTATTATGCTGGTCTGTTTATCTGAATGATGCATATTGGTGTGTCATTTATATAGCGGTATGCACACAGACACTAATGTCACTTATCTAGCTGGGTAACTTAAATTTGTGTTTTGTATTGCACGTATTATTAAAAAATGTTACATTTTTTCACAAATTTGAAGTATCTTAAATACATGAATGTACTGTGTATATTCACTTTCATGATAAATTAGGCTTCATTAAATTATTTCCAAAGAAGTTTTATTTTTTTCATATTTTTAGCAGAATATTGATTTGTGTTTTTCTCTGTTGCATATTAAAGTCTCCTGACTGCATTACAACATCTCATTATGGGCAATATGAAATATAAATACATGCATAATAAACAAAATCACATAAATATACAAACATATTATTTATCTAATCTGTCAATTAAAATGAGCTTTATTCCAAAATTAGGTTAAACCAATCCAAAGACAACACATATTTGTCAGTAGCAATATGTTGGACGACTCAATGATGAATGTTTATCTGAAAAAGTCAGATCATGCCTTAAGTTGAAAATGGATTAGTATGGATAGATCAATGCAATACTATGAGGGGCCGTACAGGCCGTAATTCATACTGTCCTCTCACACACATATATTCTCCTTTTACATACATATATTTTCACTCTTACCCACATTCATTCTCCTTTTACATACATTACATTTCATTTAGCTGACGCTTTTATCCAAAGCGACTTACAATTACCAATTACAGGGACATTCTCCCTGGAGTAACTGAAGGCTAAGTGCCTTACTCAAGGGCACACTAGTTGTGGTGTTTGAACCTTCCGATCTTCAGCCCACCTCACTATCCATTAGACCACCACTATCCCCTCACATATATTTTCACTCTTACACACATACATTCTCCTTCATACATATATTTTCACTCTCACACACATACATTCTCCTTTTACATTCATACATTTTCACTCTCATATACATATATATTTACACTCACACATTCATACATTTTGCTCTCGTGCACCAACACACTCTCACTCCCTAAGCGTCCAGGAGCGACGCTTGGTCAGGGTCCCGTGGCGTCCAGTTGTGACGCGCCGAGGCTCCTTCAGCTTCATAAACGGACGCAAAGAGCTTTCAACTGATTGCAATGTATTCCCATCGGCGGCGGTATTTGATGCTTAGGGAAGCACGGCATTTGTTTGTGTCAGAGGCTGTTAAAGGCAATGTGAGCGTCCATTCCCATTGGATAACGGAGAATTGTACACCCGGAAGTAAGTATTCCCCTTACTGTATTGATTTGACAGTGATATCTCCACTACTCATCAATTCAAAAACACCAGATTATCCTCGTTAATTAAACAACATTAATAGGTTTTAGTGTGTACAATGCTTTTGTCACGTTTTCCCCTTCAATTCTGAGAAACAAGTCGTTTTCTATGAGTTTTGGATGGCCGAAGACATTACATTACCCACAATCCTCTGTAGCAACCATAGACTGTATAAAAAAATTAAATAATAGATTATTCCGAGTGTGCTTGCTTTTCTCTTTGAAAGTCATCACATAACGGCATTGTAATACACGTTTCGGCTGCATTAAATATGACATATCTGCCGTAGTTAACTCTATGTATAGAGCCCTGATGACAAGACTTCTAGACAAACAGGAACTGCCGCCAAAACTGAAAACTTGACGTGGATCTTAAATATATAAGCAATTAAACAACATCTTACATTTCTTTTCACACAATACGTCTCCTTGCAGTATCAACACTAATTCGGCTGACTTTTATATTTGATCCAATTGGTAGATAGGCTGTATTTACGCCATAACGGTGCACAGCTGATAGAAAGGGACACCTACTGATTAAAGCACGTTATTGCATTTTATAATTTTATTATTAGATATTAATAGGAGGATGTGCAAAACAGACAAACTAATAAGGCTTTATTTAAACATTAAAGAATACTTTAGGTTTTTTAAAACTCTTTCATTTCTCACAACTCACAGCTGGCCAGGGATAAGTCCCAACTCTCCCGACGGCCAATCCGTGCCTCCCCTGACTGCACGTTGCTGACACACACCGCTGCAAACTCTCTGCACGGAGGAGCCGCGGAGGAAGAGACACACGTTCACTAAGCCGAAAAAAACTATATCCGGTCACAGTGATCTGCTATTTAAAGTAAATTCAACACATATCGACCCTAAATATAGCATATATTAAGAACGAGAAAGTGTTAACATCGTTTTTTGTAAACATATGACAAATGTGCGAGGGTGATGACATCAGAGCATCGTCCTATGGGCTTAGCCCCGGACAGGTACAACAGGTATTCACCCAGAGGGGGGTAGGTACTAAATGCCACCCATTTACATGTAGGCAAACAAAGTCAAAAATAAACATACACTAGGGGGGTGGGGGATGGTGAACGGTATGTGGGTATGTGGGACACTGAAAAGTCTATGTTAAAAAGCCTCAGTCACCTTAATTCATGTAATAAAAACATCTCAGGTCAGTAACACTGAAAGCTAAATGTGCAATGCCATGTTCAGCTATGTTACTATTTATAATGTTATTGTTGTTACAACAGAAGATGTTTTTCTTTATATTGAAGTTAAATGCATCAATCTGGTGCACTTTGAGGTCAAAATTAAGAGATTTATGGATACCGCTGGAAAAAGCTGCAGTACATATGCAGAGCCTGTACGTAGCGCTGTAACTTCCTCCACAAAAGCAGCCTTCTGTTTATTCAACGTGGTGGGGGCCGAGGGAACCGGGCAGAGTTTTTCGCCGGTCAACGTGTGTGAAAGTTTAAATCTTCCTTATTGAGCTTTAAAACAAATGAATAACGACTATATATAATAATAAAATAAACACCGGCTGTTGTTATGCCTGCTGTAACGTTAAATTACTCCGTTCTCCGCTTAAGTAATTATGCCGTTACAAGCTTCATAGTTGTATTTATCATCTAAATTTGCCGAAACAAGTTTAATATTCTGAAAGCCAAGACTTTGTTTATTTGATCAGATGAAAACAAACTGTAACGGACCCTGCAGTGTTATCTATGATTACTATGCCTTACTGTACATTCATAATCCCCAAAATCTACAGAATACATTTAATTTAAGGGGAGCAGTTACTGAGAAGTATATAATGAGAACTGCTACCAATGGTGGCCTATTTAGTTTATTAAGAAATACATATTTTTATCTATGATTACTATGCCTTAATGTACATTCATAATTTCAGCCGGAGGGAGGTGGGCGGCGCTGCGGAGGAGCAGATTGCGAGTGAGAGGTGCCTGTCATCTTCCCTTTACAAGCTTCACAAATGTATTTATCGTGGGATTTTGGAAATAAAAGTTTCATATTCTGAAAGCCAAGACTTTGTTTATATATTATACGTGGGTAGCTATGACGTCAGAAGGAGTTACCGTAAATGAGAGCTGCCGTAAAAGTGTTTCTAGGATTTCTAAACGAACTATTACAGCTGTTATAAAGCATTAAATAAAAAGTCATGAAAGAGATAAGGAGGAGAAAAGGTTTAAGGAAGTAAGCAAGGAATACAGATTGTCGAAATCCTCTGTTTCACGCGATGTCGAACATTGAAGACAGAGGACGGCGGTCCCCCAATCTACACAGCGGGAGAACGAAGATCATAAAGCTGATCGGAGGAGACATCACGATCTTTCCCACATTAGTGCAATTCACCTATACTTAACCCCAAATAAAAGAACCCAATAAAAACAGTTGTTAAATAATAGTGAAGTCACGTTGTAATAATAACTCATCTCTTGGTTTGAGTGTTCTTTTTCTGCTTTTCTGACTATTTCTCATTGTGGGGAAAAATAACACCCAGGGTCCTGATCGTTTTAATGAAGTTGAATACAGAATATTCATATTTGTCAGTGATTTCATGTCAATTCGGCGAACATAAACATAAATGATCGTGGTGAAGATGATGATTAAATTAGGATTAAAAATCGGGAGAGCCGGCTGCATTTCCTCTCGTTCGTTTTTTTCGACTAAACACCATTATTTTGTTAAATAACAACATGGTGATGTTTTGTAAATGATTACATGTCTTATTTAGCACAGACTATGATCCTATCCGTGACATATGGATCTTAACAAAGATCCGCTATACATTAGTACCAGACATACTGTACATCCAGCTTACTGTATCGAAGTTGATTTCACATGAGCTCCAGTGTGGAACCCCACTGCACCCCCTGGTGGATCAATGATCCATTGCAGCTGGCTTCACAATAATTAAATGTATTTATCACGGGGGCGGTATCAAGTCAGACTGGGGGCCGGCTCTTCATCACGAACCGATCACGGGCCGATCACGGAACGTGCACGAGCCAATCACGACCCTCACGTTTCAAACTGTCTGAAATAAGATGCTCCATCTGTAAAGTCAGGGATTTAGGGGGAAAGGAGCCGTTTTGAGCTCTGCTACTAAAAACTGCTTTTTTTTTAACGTCATACGTCAAACACGTCATATTACGTCACACGGGGGAGCAACCTTCGCAGACTCCTTCTCTGCCCAATCCACGGTAGTAGTTTGTAGTTGGTTTGAGCGGTTGTGATTTAGTGAGCTGGTGTTTTTTCGGTAATTTTACATTGCATTTCACCATTTTTAATCATGGTGAGTCTGTCAGGACATCGAGTCCACAGTTTCCCTAACAGGAAAAGGACCGGAGCTAGCTTTCGTTCCTGGGTTGTGCGAGGTGCATCCACCTCCCTGCAGCACATACTCTCCACAGCTGAAGCCTATCAAACAAAACGTTTATCAGGAAACCGTATTACATCTCTCTCCCCCCCTTCGCTGCTCACTCTCTCTCCCCCCTTCGCTCCTCTCTCTCTCCCCTCCGGTACACAGCACCGGAGACGTAGTGTGGAGTTGGATTAGGTAACGCGAGATACGGCTGATACTTGCGCATTAGTTTCTGTTATGGATCAGTATCAACAGTCCTGCCAGTAACGTTACTATATTATCAATACTACTTTAGTTATAGCCTGATATATGATAGCTAACTTTACAATGTTGTGATGTGACTGACGTTAGCTAACATTAACTGTAGCTAACGCCGGTCACTCACCAAGACAGCCTCCCTGTTCTCCACTGGTTCTCCTCACACGACAGCTCAATTTCTCTCCTATGGCCGTTATTTCTTCTAATCCTTGGCTGCTCCTGGTCTCTTGGACGCCTAGCAGGCTCATAATTATAAG